GGCGGCGGGCGCAAATCCGTCAGCGTGTCTTTCCGAGAAACCGCGCCGATTTTTATTTTTTTCGCCAGATCGAAGCTTGCAATTTAATTGAATTAGTGAATTCGAATAGTCCCATTTTAGCATCGTGTGAGTATGACGAGCGTTATAAGGATTTCCCCTTTAGGCCGCTAACCATCACTTGACCAAGCAAATATTGAAAATAATGACAAACAGTTTTAAAAGAGATTAGAAGAAGGAAAAGTTGATGTGAACAAACTATATGAGTAGTAGTCTAATGTTCAGTTGCGTACAATTCAGTCTCCACTTATTTTGTGAAAAGCATGCGGTCAGATTGCTATCAGCCATTTTCAGCAAAACACGCTCGCCCTTTAGCGCCACACTGCCAGCAGTGTTGCCCTAGAGATACTCGCATTTTTCATTTGGAGAGAGAAAAATTAAACTTTAAGTATCTCTGGAGCAGAAACAAACGTACTGTATCGAAATTAACTTTAAGTATCAGAAAGTTCATTTTCATCCCCATGGAACAGAGTTTTTTTCAACACTCATTTGAATTGTTGTATTTGTTTGGATTCTGGTATTTTTCAAGACAAAGACAGTGGACCGGTTTGTGTAAGAATATGATATTTTGCATTTACTTATCAGGGGGCCATACTGCTGTAGCATAAGGAAGTTCTTATTAAGTTTAAAGGAAATCCACGCTGACTCAACAGCTGAATTCACGTTATATTTACGATTTGAATTATTTATTAGGTATTGAGAGTCATAAATGGTAACAGTTGCAGCCCAGTGAACACGTTGACTTCCCTTTGATCAACAATAAATGGTAGGCCTAATAAAAAGTCGAGGACGGTACTGGCTTTGTATTCCTGGTAGGAAGCATAATTATATTATCTAATATCATAACATCATAATCAAAATAGCGCAACTGTTGTAAAAGCAAAATCAGATAAATGAGGATCTGGTAAATGGATACATTTTTAATTAAACATTTGTTAACCCGCCATTCAAAAACCTGTTTTGAGTTTTCTAAGTGGATTTTTCTGTTATCTTTGTGTTGTAAAACACAAGTCAGAGAATGTAAATGACATGAGGATTTTACCTGATCTGACCAGGCTGGATTCTGTCAGATGGGACCAGCCAGGGTCAGCTTGGGTTTGCATTCTTCTCGTCAACATCCATCATTAGATGAGACAAACACAGCGAGCAATTAATGTCAGGTTAACACTCAGTTTAAGCTGCAAGACTAGGTTGGGTTACCTAACAGTCAAGCGTGTTTGAATGTATATGTATCTGTGGGTATATCACACACAGGAAGGTCTACCGTTGTTAACAGAACTTTAAATATTATCATATATCTGGTATGTCCATGATACTGAGGGATGAATACTAGAAAAATGTAGTGAAAAATGGCCAATAGCTCTGTGTTTAATGTCCATTATTGGAATAATTATTCAACGGAGAAATAGCAAGATAAGGAAAGAACTAACTGCATATAAAGGCAGTGCCAGGTTTTCATTTACCCATCCATCTGTTTGTCTGTCCATCCATCCATTGATCCATCTATCTTTCATTAATGAGGCACAAAGCAGGTGAATCCTGGACAGGCAACCAGTGTATCATAAATATATATATATATATATATAACAGCTAGACAATGAATTTAACCTTAAAGAGGATTCATGTTCTGAGAAACTGCGGCCCTTATATTTACCTGCCCAGTTGATTCCGTTTCATCGGTTGTGGATGTGAGTGTTACAGTCATCAGAGAGATGCAGTGATGCTCAGTGTTGTACTACTGCTTTTGCCAGGCATTTGAAGTCTGAGGGTTTTCTCATAAGCTTTTATATGTCTGGCGGGTGGTAAATTGAGTTATGGTTTTATGAGTAGCCTTGGTTTATTAAAGAAGTTGTGAGTCATGAAACTGCAAACATGGCTTGTGAGAACACCTATTATAATACCAAACTATTCCGTTTTTATTTAATTACGTTTTACTGGCATTTCATTATGATGATTTTATATTGGTACCTGCAATAGTTTTTTCCCCCAAGAATGTGTATAATGTCCTAAAAAGTATTAAAACATGATTAAGGGTAACCTAAAATCCCATTATGCATAGTTAAAAACTGCAGTCAAAGAGTGCACTGCAGCTACATTAAAGGGGAATTTACAAAATAAAAAAGATCGTTTACAGAAAATCTCCTGCGTGTGCACAGGAAACTACTGCAGTTCGGTTTAAACTCCTTCCCTTGATCTCCAGATAATCTCCACCCTCTGACAATGCCTGCAGGCATCTTTGCTATTTGCATTGGAAGTCCACAGGTTAAATGGAACAAAATTTATGTGCTTTGCAAGTTGTTGGTATTATCCTAATATCAATTTCAACACCTGCTATGTGTCTATCAATCTGTCAAACGGTGTTTCAGTGTTGATATTTACTCGATTTTGGATGACAGGAGAGGGACTTCCTCACCTTTTTTTGGTTTCTAAACTTCAATTTCATATGCAAATTTGGAGCTATCGAAAGGTAAAGAATGAACAAAATGGAGGCACTATGTTCACTTGGAGTACAATTCAGCCAAGTACATAACAGGAACCAATATAGAAAATGACTGTTTCCAGTAGTATATGGTAGATATCTTCTGCGGTAAACATGATGAAAAATGAAGCCACTAAATCCCACTTGAATTCAATTTTAATCTGCAATAGTAATCCGTCAATCAGCAACAGTGATTCAATGTATTATTTCCACAGCTTTTCAGCATTTAATCATGTCTGAAGCACCCGTGGTTTGAATTGTACTGTACTATAAGTGTTGATATTTAGAATTTACAAATGCATTCAGTTAACAGATCTCAGATCAGGTGTCAAAACATACATGAATAATAGCAGGAATAATTTGTCTCTTTGACACTGCTGCTATGAGAGCAAAAAGCTGCACTTCTTCTTGTGTTTCTTCTTGTGTACATTCTTGGAATCCATGGCTAGGGGCAAGGCTTGAAAGAAAAAGGCAGACCTCCCAGTACAACCCGAAACATATTTCTTAGAACTATTTGCTTAGAACGTGCCCAAAACCTCTTTAGATCATAAATTTCTCGTGAATTGTATATGCTGGCAGCCCTTCAGGATTGTACAGATTTTAATTATTGTGCCTCTGACTCCCGTTGATAGACGACATATTGTGCCTGAGGTGGTTCGCTCTGAGGCCTGCCAGTGATGGAGGCCTCCAAACCCAAAGTGGGCAGGCCTGCCATACATTGTCAGGCACCAACATTCTATTGGTTAACACAATGGTTTCTATTGGGAATAAACTGGTGGGCAGTGGCAAAGAGCAAGTAGGTAGTATCAAATATTTAAATTCAGTAGTTATCTGCATTTAGATGTTGCGTGACTATGGTTAGCTTCCAAAAGTATACTTTAAAAATCTGATTGCTCAGTAGGTCATATTACGATGACCTCTTTTAAAATTATATAGTGTGCAGTGAGGGATTTTAGGAGAAAAGATGATAATACACATTTTTGGATTTTTTTAAATATATATATATATACACGTCACCAAGGACTGAATGGTTTTCTTTCCTGTAGATGTATGTCTTCATATGGTGTCTTTTTTAGAATACCGTTTAGATTCCATAAGAACTGTACATGTTTTATATATACAAGTGTAGATGTAGTGCCAGTAAATGTATTGATTTTGAGTTTGCTGAAGTAGTACGGTCAGTCTGCACAGATACGGCGGAAATTGATGCTTATATGATGCTGTCTATGCTTTATTACGGATAATGTTCACTCTTCTGATGATTGCAATGTTTTTTTTTAATGACTGTACAGCATCAAAGGCAGTTTGCATTTACTACATGGGTTTCTTCCACCCCCATTATGCTGTCGGCATAATGTGTACCATTTCCATACTTAACCATTTTCCCTAACCCTTGTTCTCCAGGTGAACTAACTCCCTGCACCAGAAATAGGAACCATAACTTCCCTTAAATGGAGTGTCACCTTCAGCAATGGAAGCTGGCATGAGTCCTGCAGCACACGAGATGGGGACCCCCATGTTTAAGCTTGATATGAAGAGTGACGTGAAGACGAACATGGACCCCTAAGACCTTTGCTTGTCCTGGGATGATGACATTTTTCCCCAAGCTTCTGGAAAAGCATGGCTCTCTCAGTAAAGGACATGACGGATCCTCTGCCCTCGCAGGCGGCTCCATTCCCATTGGATACAAACTCTCTTCCAGGTCTGCGCACCTCGGTCAGGCCTCTGTGTGAGGAGCCACCGTAGAAGCTGCTGGGCCTCACTCTCCCACCTGAGGTGGAGTCACCGCAAAGCAGCTCTTTGTAACGACTGTCAGAGAAGCTTCTCCTCCTGGTATCTGCAGTGCGTTAAAAGGGACCAGTTGCATGGATTGGCACGCCTGCCACTGCTGAGCTTTCCACTGACCATTGTTAAGTGAGAATTCAATATTTGTTGAAATATTTATAACCTTGGCTGCCAAACAGTCAAATGGGGAAAGTACAGACAGTATTAATAGATATTTGTTCAGTTTGTAGTTTATATTCCTTCAAAAGAGGTTTTGAAAGGGCATAACAATGGACTTTAATGGACTAGAATGTATTTTGTCCAGTTTATGTCTATGCATAAACAGACAGGCAATAAGCAATCCCATTAAATGGATTCATTTACAAAACAGATTTAACCCAGGTAGTCATTATGTCAAAGCATCTGGTAATTTGTGTGTTGAGGGATCAGTTGTGAAAATAAAATCTGGAAACAATGACAAATATAGTGCAAAGCCTGTTAGACTTGCGAAATGGCTCAGACGCGTTTTTCAAATAAAACCCCACGTTGCTTTAAAGCATCTGTCTTTACTTTGTCCGAAGACACAAACATCTAAATTTAGGTGCACCGTCTTCCAGCGTGGCCTGTTGTAATTATTCATCCGCGAGGTATTTAGTGTGGAACAGCTGCAGTCTCAGGGACCTCCTGCTATCTGCTATACAGGTGGCACGTGTGGCCCCCCCAGGTCCGGGGGGAGCAGGTAACCAACGGCCAACAGAGGAAAAGCGGCCTGCTGGCACAGCGCCACTCGTAAATGTTGGAAGTCCCGGTAATGACATCGAGCACGGCGGAGCCTGAAATCGTTTCCCGAACCATCCCCCCCACCCCCCCCCCCAGCCATGTGCTGGAAACGTAAATGATGTCATCAAGGATGGGAATGATGTGCTTCGCTCCATACCCCGACTGAAAGCGTGTTGTTTTTAAGCACTTCATCGAGAACATCACCTGTAGTTATGCTTTTAGCGCCATCAATCTCACGCTTTTTTTTTCCCCCTAAATGCACTGGATTAAACACACATTTCTAAATTAACTTCAGCAAAGTGGAGAAAAATGTTTATCATAAGCATTGCAAGCAAACACGTCAAAAATTGGCAAGGAAGTCTGACTGGCAAGTTCCAGACTGTGTATGAGAACATTACAGAAGGTGTGTGAATCACGAGGACACACCTTTCACCATTTCTCCCCTTTTTTGTTTGTTTAGTTCCCAGTTAGTGCATGAATTATATTGAGGAACAAACGGTGGTCTTCAGCAGTGGTGGGCTTTTGTGTCTTGTGAGAAAAGCCGTTATAGGATTATTTCCGTTTGTGCAGTTCTCGCTGTCTCATGCCGACTGACAAGCAAGTTAAGAGCAGACATTAAGGAATTGTTCGTAAACAAACAAAAAAAAAAAACATCATCTATCATTCACTGTATATTTTTATTACACGTGAAGAAGGAATCTGAGTATTCACAACTATGCAGAAAAAAAATGACGGTTTAATTTCCTAATGTGTTTTTTCATTCCATCCTAATTTTCACTGTGTATGTGTGAGAGATGGAGAGATTTCACACAGGCCCTAAGGCCATGGCAGACCTCAACATGTCCCACTTCTTCTGAAGATGTGGTTGTAAATTTCACACGTATTCAAAGGACTTTATCCAAGGTCTGGATGCCAAGAATAACAGTCAATCCAGAAGAGAACTCAAACTCTGTTTAATGTGATGTTTAATTCAGCTGGAGCTGATCAGGACCTATTTGTTCCTGCAAAAAAAAAACTGCTGAATTCTTTCAGACCATTAACCAGTGCTTGTTGTGACAATTTGAATTCTTTCTCCTATTTTGAATAGCAGTATTTTTTGTGCTTGTGTTTTGGCACAAACCCCTGGGAAAGGTTGGCTAACAATATCTTTAAGTTGCGTGACAAACAACAGAAAATGAATCTGTTTTCCGACTCCCTGTTGGTTTGGAAGTTATTTTTTTTAACAGTCATGGGGACTGTGGGCTGGGAAAGCCTGGATTCTTTCATCTGGGGATTCCCTTTTCCAGGCTGGAATGAAGCAGGATGGACAACCAAGAACCATCTGAATAAATAAATGCAAAATAGCTGTTTTTTCCAGAATAGAAACAGAAACTCTTTGTAGCACGAACGTTTAGGTCACCAACAAAATAAAAATATTCTAGTATATAGTAACATCAGGGGCAGGGGCATGGAACAGGGGGTCAGATCAACCTGAATCACTCCTCTGAGACGGACAGTAGACCAGCCCTCTTTCCACAGGAAGACGTGCACTCTGAACACAAAACCAAACTGAAAACACAAATGCTTCGTCAAATAATGGAATTTCACACAAATGTTAAAGAACATAAAGGACAATGCTGTTTAAAAATGGACTGAGTGATGCCCCAGGCCTCATGTTATACATACAGTCAGTGATTCATTCATGTTCCATACCTGCTAGATTCTATGCCAGGTCACAGGGGCTCTTAGCCGATCCTGGAAACCGCGGCTGTAAGACCCTGGCTGATTCCCTGTAGCCCATATTGTACATGAGATATATATTTAGGCACATGCGAGCTATATTGAGAACATACAGAATATACATACAATACTCATATTTTAATACATTAATAGTGACAGTTCCTCAAACAGCCACATGTCACATTTACCAAGTCTGGATAACACAGCAATTTATGGTGAACACAGTGAGCAAAGCGCAGATGGACCAGATGAATAACAAATTGTGGTCATTTCTCCTTCCCAAGATGGATGGAAGCACCCAAACACATGTTCTGATGCCTTAGTTTCCATCTTAAACATATTAAAATAGACTTATGTTCAGACGTTGTCATTTTCATTCGTAAACTAAATAAAAAACTGAATGAATGGTTTAGTTATGGCTGAAACAAACCACAGAAACCACATTTAATTGCTGGTGAGACACAGTTGCACAGTGGGACACACTGTTGAAAGGTGGTTTCTATTACGCTGGAGAACTTCAACAATGGCACTTTGCTGGGTTACTTAATAACCTTCACGTTCTGTGTTATCCTTACCATCTCTGGGAGCCATGCATCTTCCCTCAAGCATGCACCATAGCTGCCTATAGATGGAGTACTGGGTCACCTCTTCTTCTCGAATTGGTGGTCGAACCTTCTCCTCCTACCCCAACAGCGGGAACCCATATCCTCACTGCGGTGACGCTACATGCTGATTGTGTCCTATTTCTTAATCAAATTTAAATTATAAATCTGCTAGACCAGTAATCAATCCTGGTTGGCTTTTGCCCAGCAGAAAACAGGCCCAATTAAGACGATGCCAGGTGGCCAGGAACTTGTTCTGAACCTTGGGGATTAGCTCCAAGTTTGGTTCCCGGGTGGGACTCCCAAGGTTGTGGAAATTAAAGGAGAATCTGGATAAAACTACCAGCTAAGTAAAACACACACAGATTCAGCAGATTTTGAACTTGGTTGACAAAATGTTATTTTTTTCAGTCCAGACATAATCCTAATTTAAGACGCTGTCTTGACTATTGGGCACTTAAAAATAAAGCCACAAAATAAAATATCAAGTAAATCGCTCATTTAATTTAAAAGTGTTTCAAGTGTCTTTGTTTCCTTGCTATTGTTTATTGTTCATTTTGCAGTGCAGGGCGGCGCGCAGCTCGCTAAGCGGAAGCGCAGTGAAGGTGCAGCTGGGCCGGGTTTCCACGTGCCACGCCTGCAAATTCATGAAGGCAGCGCCCGACGTTAACTGGAGAAGTTCAATTTGTTTAAAGCAATCAAGCGCGTTGCCGCTGAGCTGCGTCGAGCCGGGCGGGGAGCTAATGCTTCACATACATCATCCCGCTGGTGTCCGTAGCCGCGCGTGAACGGGGGTGGGGGGAGGGGGGGGGGGCTTTATTGGGTAGCTGGCCTGCCGGTGACCCCCTGGTTGCAGCTTCAGCAAATGCCGTCTCAATTCCACGATGCTCACTGCGTTGCAGTGAAGCTCCCCACTCTCTCCTCATCCCTCCCTCCCTCCCTCCCTCCCTCCATTTGTCACGATCCTGCGAGAGGCACCGTCGGAGACAAAGACAGGAATGCTATCAATTCAACCCCGGCTGTGTAGATCAGACACATCCCAACAGTGGACAATGTGTACTTCAGGCTAGAATTACTGCATGCCAGTAGCTCACGCTGGATGCAAAAGCATGTAACAAAATCTTGCGTGTTAAAGATGGAAGTATCCATTTTAGCACCCGGTTATGTCGTGTTGATTTCCAAAGGGGTACATTGGGTGTTGGTGCCGCGGGACTCGTCAGCGCCTTAAAACGTGTAACTCAGCATGAACGAGTAGAGGTTCAGTACAGGACTGACAAAGGACTGAGGGGTCTCTGTATGTTTCTGAAAAGATCCCAGGGGGGGTCACATAGAGACACAGCACACAGAAGCAGAATCACAGGAAGCCGGGGGGAAAAATTACATATTGTTAGTTTGTCTTTGTTGTTGTTAATAATAATAATAATAATAATAATAATAATAATAATAATAAATTAGCATCTGGACCAAGTCTAAACAACTTGTAAAAAAAATATCTTGTGGCATAATTTCTAGCTGTACCATCGTTCTCCATCGAATATCCAGCACTGGCTCTTATGAAGACGCTTACTTACCAGACAAGTTATATACAATATGTAACATACAGCAGAAGCTAAAATCTGTGTACACACACACACACACACACACACACACACACACAAAATTCATTGTCCTAAGTTTAAGATTAATATAAAGCTATTTCAAATCTACAGCAATTAAATGCTATAAGATACCCATCATTGATTCAACAGTGATTTATCTGCAAGAGTCGCGGTGTTCATGCAGAACGCTGCAAACCTAATGGACACTTCCTGGGTTTTTCAGCAGGCGTCGTTACAAGGCACCACAAGGGCTGCCAAGCCAGTTAATCAGGACCATTCCTGCCGTGACCAGCCTAGCATGGCACACAGTCGCTGCTACACAAGGAAACACGAGCAGCTATGTATATCCCAGACAAGTACATGGGGAGCGATCTGGGGCTGTCAGGCTGACTGACGCTGCCTAATCATTTTCATGTATACGCCAAATAGACAATGAGCGAACACTCAAACACAGGGGCTATTCTATATGGTTCCCAGGCTGAATGAGATGCTCTCCATGACTGTAGCACAACTTACCATGGTATTAGTGCAGGGCTGCATCGCCATACGCTGTCTGTAGGAAGGATTCACCTCATTCGGCTGGGTGAAACGGTGCATTTCAGTGTTTTTCCTCACTGTTGAACAAATCATTGAGAAAAATAGCTATGAAATACTTGGTCAGCCAAGTGTTTACACTTACACTTGAAGAAAGTGTGTTGGGAGGATGTCCATATCAGTAGAGTCCATCTGGATTTTGCGCCATAATTCAAGACAATTCCGTTCGAAGCTGGATGAGGATCAGACGGCCGCTGACGTACTGTACAGGCTTCAAGTGGGCCACTCAGAAACTTGCGCTTTCTTCTTAACAAGCCACTACAGTATAACCCAGGCTGAGAGCGCTGGGTCATCTTGCTGATAAATCTCAGACTTGGCTCTACTGCAGATTGCAGGGTGTTTTCTTAAAAGGTGTGTCTGTATTAAGACATTTATCTTTTAAGAGGACAACAGTTACATAGCCGCCTGCTTCATTGCAGGTAGGACGTTACATGGTGTGTTGGGATTTCAGGAGATGTAACAAATATGCGGATCAGTCGTCTTACCAGATACTCATTTTCCAAGAGACATTTAAGCAGGATTTCCCACTTTCTTCCTGTCATATACCATACCGATATATTTTTAGAGGACTTTGTTGACCTGAAAATAGGACTTTTTTCATTCCTTGCTGAGAAATATGCTTCTTCAGAGATTCCAGTAGGTTTTGGCTGTTTTTTTCCAACTGGCAAAATCCACCATTATCTCTTTGAATGACATTTGGACTCTATGAATCTGATTTTGTGAATTTTGGAACACCAAGATAAAAAGAGCATACGCTTTTGCGGGAATGCCATATATGAAGGGCGCTTAAACATTCAGGTTATAACACAGAAAAATGTGGAAGCACTGACCTCTTGTAACCTTATATAATGGGGAAAAAAACCCTTCTGCATGTAGTTCATGCTTCATACATCAGATAAATTTATATTGAGGCAATCTACAATATCATACACAAATATGTAGACCTTTGGCATCAGAAATGTAAAAAATGTGAAATGTAGCTGGAAATTTCATTTTATACGGAGCTGACAGTTTCTAGGCATTTATAAAGAAAAAACAAAAGCTGAAAATGCTGTATCCTACAACAAAGATGAATGTTTTACAGACAGTATTTTATCAGTATTCTCCAGAAAAGGCGCAGTGCCAGGGAAAAAAAAAGCTCTCGTCGGGTTTAAAATGCCACTTTTTAAAAGGCAGAGATTTGTTGTTTTTGGTTTAACAGCCTCTCACGTCATTAATTTTGTTGCCGTCTGGAATGTTCTGGAATGGAGTGACGTTACGAAAAGGCAGAAGCGCGGTGGTCGAAACAGCTGGTCCCTATGTATGTTCAAAACACGATCTAGGAGGAGATGTTTCTGCTGCAGACAGAGATACATCGTAAAACAATAACCCATCTAGCAGGTGATACTTGTCATCAAATTTCTTTCAGTTATTCTGCTAGTTTTTAGACACTGGGTAATTTAAATGTGGTTCTTGATCAGGAATACTGATTATTCAAATACAGAGTGGCATACCCAAAATTGAAAAACTACAAATTAAAAGCGTATTTCATTCATTCATTCATTCATCTCCATCCCCACTGGTGGAGTCCAGAGCCAATCCCAGAAGCAACAAGCACAATGCAGGCAATAACCTTGGACCGGGCACCAACCCCCCCCCCCCACATTCACACCTACGGACAGCTTGGAAAATCCAATTTACCTTAACATGTTTTTAGACTGCAGGGAAACCAGAAAACCTGGAGAAAACCCGACTACAACATGCTGGAAATATGTAAACATGTATGTAATGAAAATATGTAAACATGTATGTAATGAAAATATGTAATCATATAAAATAACACAACAGTGCCACTATTAACCACTGGCTCATAAAAACAAACCAGTTCCTACTTCCTGCTCCCCACATACAGTATAGATGTGACGTGGTTCAGAGAAACTAGAGAAACCATGGAAGAATTATTCATTAAACCCTCATTAAAAGTGGAGTCATGCTCCATAACAAACTACGCTGCAGTGCTTTTCACTGCATTGACACTTGGGAAGTACCACCGAGCGCAATCCGGGTCGGACGCTACCATTGGTTATGAGGAACAGGTAAAGTGGTGCGACTCCAGCTGCCTGACGGTGATGCCAACTTGAATTTATTTCTATATAAAAGGTCAACTGGATTACACTGCTTCAGTTGTTATCTAATAAAGGCATTTAATTAATTCACACTGAGCAAGGAGTAGGTACTCTAATTAGCAAGGGTCTCACGTTTACATTACCGGAGTGGAGGGAAATTGGTTGTCGCAGGCAAAAGTCATAGTCAGTAGTTGGAACTGCTTAGATTCATAAGTTTAAAATGAATTCAGTTTTTATGAACTGAATTTCTATAACATGAACAGGAAGATCACACCTCATACATTGTATTTTTGTCCTTGTTTGTACCAGATGCAGCCCATTACCAACAAATACCGTGTCTCCTATCTTAACACAGCTCAGCGAGTGTGAATGAATTTATATCCAAAGGTAAACGGAGAAACCGCAAAGATTTATTTACTGAAAGAGACACAGGGGGAAGGCAAGTAGGTGAACGCTGCATGACCCCAAAGCTGACACCAAGACAGATAAGAGTATCATGCAAATGAACATTGTGAGCAATTGCATTCAGTCACCGTTGCTTCTAGAATTCCATCAACCCCCCCCCCCCCTCACCTTCTCCGCTATACGCTGTAAGAATATGTTACACGGCAGCTCTCATTATCAACAAATGTGCCCATAAATTTCCGTGCAACTGCCAGCAGACAATAAACCCAACAATAATCTGTTACATACAAACAACGACCGGAGTAATTGTAACGATAATAATTTTGGTTGTTGTCAGTGACGTCGCTCTCATTTTACGTTTTGTAGTCTGGCCCATTCTCTTCAGGCTCCGAAAAAGATGCAGATTGCTATCGCCGGGACGGAAGCCCAGGAGCACATTCCTAAACTGGGCTTCTGGGCGAAATGCAAATGGAATGAGGCAGCAGAAGGACAACGACAAGCCATTAGGACGTCCACAATCATTCCAAAGTTATTCATTCTTTTAGCTAAGGTGTGCCCTAACCATTTCTGAGGCAGCTGTTTACTTCAGAAAAAGAGTTTCTTCTAATAGAAACCGATTAAGAACTTAATGATCTGATTACAAGGTAGCTCTCTTTATTGTACATTTATCATCATTAAGGCTGCAGGAATAAATATTTATCAAGGAGAAGTAAAATGGTGTACAGGTATGCATTGCAAATAATTAACAAGTGAAATTTTAAAAATTATTCCACAATTTCGCACCTGAATCTTTTTTATTTCAGAAATGGAAGTCAAATTCTTTGGAAACCTGGACTGGAAAAAAACTGAGATGCATTTCCATTTAATTTCAGATTTAGGAGCACAAGGAGCAGATGAACTTGGCATAAATAAATCACTTCCAGATGAAAGTACTCCATATATCTGGCTATCTGCTATAACCGCATAATCAGTACAGTCTATCTGAAGAAGCTCACGTAACAAGGCAGGGCAGACCCTGTACGAGGAGCCATTACATCACCGTGACAAATCGTTAACGATGAACAAGCATGAGATCAGTTCGTAACCAACAGTTAATATGTGGTGAATTGATACATAAGAAAGAGCATAATATTGTATTATTCGTGTCCCCTCAAGTAAAGTGTTATCCAGTTAATCTAATTCTCAAAAAATGATTTTCCTGACCTTCTGTTGTTGTCTGAAACCCTACCAGGTATGTGCTATACGAACACCTTCGACATTTATTTGCACAGCTGCCCTTACACCGCATATTGTCAATAATCTCAGCGATTGAAGACTGGCAAACAGCTTTTAAAGCATGACATCACAACATTGACATTCCCAAACAGCTTTTAAAGCATGACATCACAACATTGACATTCCCAAACAGCTTTTAAAGCATGACATCACAACATTGACATTACCAAACAGCTTTTAAAGCATGACATCACAACATTGACATTCCCAACACACCCACTGACATATAAGCAGAACGTCAACAAGGCTAATCATTTCATCCATATTCAGGCAGCTTCTCCAGGTGACAAATGCAGTAATTTCATTTAGGAAAACATTAATCTCATTTTAAAAATTCATATTAAAACTAATTATATTTTTCATCAGATAATAGATAAAGGTTAATCAAGGTAGCTTGGCGGGTAGCACAACAGCTGTCTGTCTGTATGGTTTAGGGTTTCCAATTCTTGAATCTCTGCGTGTTTGTACAGGGTTTTCTCCCACATACCAAAACATACCATTAGAATTACTGCTTGTACTGTCACTGCACAGACTGCAAGGGCCCATGGTGATATGCTACTCTCAGGATTTAAACCAGTGACCTTCTGATACCAGGTACAGAGGCTTTACCCACAGAGCCACACACCACGGTCCTGGGCAGGTTCCATAGGCATCATTGTCCTCTATTGGCCAAACAGAATGGATGCAGGTCAGTTGATTGTTGAACACAAAATCTATTTAGCAGGATAATAATCCTCTCCATGCCATTTTCCTTACCAGTCATCCAGTGTAGTGCTGCAAGGTATATATTGGTATATTCTATACATACTGCATTTTGCATTCTTCTGACTGACTACTTCTGACTGTCAGTGCCTTAAGACCAACACTGAAAATGCACCTTATATTCAGTATGGAGGTTGTGCATTAATATCCACTAGGGGGCTCAGAAGGGACCTACACATTTGGTGAAATTGCACACACTTAGGAGTTAATTAACCCTTATGTGTCACCTTAATTGAATTCAGGCAACACAATTGGAAACCACTGTGCAAGCAGAGCACATTTCTTTCTTTGAATCAAGTCCCATTTATCATTTTACCATTAGTGTTAAACATATCATTTTAAACAGCCCATAATCAAAAGACTCACTGTGTTGCTTTCCCCGTTATTTCCATCTAAGAATACATTAGTGTTTAAAGAAACTGTGTATTATTTCATCATATATAATAAACAATAATTTTTTTGTTAAATTCATATACTCACAAAAGACACCTGTTATTTTTCCAGAAAATAAGGATTCATTCATCCTCTCAGTATTTACTACAGATAGAATAACACATTACAATGAGTGTTGCAAGATTTAATATACTTATGACATTTCCTAACTTTCTCTGTGGCTGCCTACGGTTGTACCGTAAAGTCTGTAATTTAACGCTCACAGTTTATTTCTTAGCAGATGCTTTTATTCAAAGCGACACACTTTTTTTTTTTTAGAAAGCAGGATCAGACAGAGTCCCTGGAGCTGCTGTAATTAAGGGTCTTAATTAAGGACCCAATGGCAAGATCACTATGTTAACCATGGGATTTGAACTGGTGACCTACTGATTACAGACATGGCGGTTCTAACTGACTGAGCCACAGACTACCACCCCACCCCCCCCCCCAGCTTCCAGTAACAAACAACAAAAATAAAATATTCTTCCAATTTTAAATGTAGTAACATTTCCATCCATCCAACTTCTATTTGCCCTGGTCAGAGTCACACATGGCCTGGAGCCAATCAGGACGCCCAGGGCACAAGCTTGGCATACACTCTGGATAAGCTACCAGTCCACTGCAAGGCAAATACACGCTACAAATAATTTACAGATGGCAATACGTTTATATGCGTGTCTATGGACTGTGAGAGGAAACCTGCACGGTATGGGGAAAACAAACTCAGATGGGGTTCAAGCCCACAACCCTGAGGTGTGAGGCACATTCCCTAGAATATCAAAAGTGGTTATTAAAAACATCTGATGGTGCCAAAGGAATATTTTACAGAACTTTCACTCAATCGGTTTTTCTAGTTCATTAAGGTAATATTACCCTGAATCACTAATCCTTTGCCTTATATTGCATTATACTGACAATTAATTCCTTTAATTAATTATTAACATAATTAACACTCCTATGTAATGATTTCCATTAAAATCAGATGCATGCTCTGAAGAGTTCACTGTTCACTGATGGATATGGATCCATCCCTAGTAAAATTAATGGTTGACATATCTCGGGGGTTTTACTCCATAGCATTGCATCCAAATACCACCAGAAATTATAATTCAACAGCAACAATCACAATATATGAAGATTTTACAAATGCACTTGATAAATAAAGCAGCAGATTTCCATCCATCCTTCTTCCAACCTGTTTATCCAGTACAGGGTCACAGAGAGCCTGGAGTCTTTGGCAGTAAGCGCAGAGGAACACCTTGAACGGGAGACTAATCCATCACAGGGGCATAAAGACCCCGCAGGCAATTAAGAGATGGCATGTCTTTAGAATGGGGGGGGACCCACACAACATGAGGAGGACACGCAAGCTACACGCACGCCCGGACGCACGCATACATAGGCACATGCACGGGCATACATACATACACACACACACACACACACACACACACACAAACACACACACACACACACACACACA